GCCCCTGGCTGAGCTGGTCACTCCTGCTGGGGCGGAGCCGGCCTCTGGGCCTGGTGACAGTCCAGGCTTTGAGACACTCAGCCCTGGGTTTGAGTTTGACCTCACCTCTCTGTGACCTTGGGCAGTGTCTCAGCTTCCTGACCTGCAGGGCCCAGCTGATACTGCATAGGTCAGACACCCGGCGCGGTGGACACCGCATAGGTCAGACCCCCATAGCGGTGGACACTGCATAGGTCAGGCACCCATAGCGGTGGACACCGCATAGGTCAGACCCCCATAGCGGTGGACACTGCATAGGTCAGACACCCGGCGCGGTGGACACCGCATAGGTCAGACCCCCATAGCGGTGGACACTGCATAGGTCAGGCACCCATAGCGGTGGACACCGCATAGGTCAGACCCCCATAGCGGTGGACACTGCATAGGTCAGACACCCGGCGCGGTGGACACCGCATAGGTCAGACCCCCATAGCGGTGGACACCGCATAGGTCAGGCACCCATAGAGGTAGACACCGTGGGGGTCAAGCACCCATTCCTGGCTCCCTGGTAGCGAAAACTCCTGACTAAGCTGATGTGGGGATGCCACGAGTCACTGGCCGGCCCCCTCGGAGCCGGAGTGCCCGCACCCCAAACCCGAGTTGTCTATGAACACTCAGAGCCCAGGTTGCATGTGCAGGGGACTCCGTCTGCTCAGCTGCCCCTCTGGCCGATTAGACCTCCTCTCCGGCACTTGCCAGAAATCATCCCTGATGTGTGCAGATGCGGGGCCGGCCGGCATGTTGCTCAAAAGGGTAGAGGAGCCTCCATTTCTGGGCACCCGGACGGGTGGCGTGGTGACGACGATGGCACTGTGTTGAGCTTTGAGTAGACGAGAGCTGTGCCTTGTCCTCTAACACATTCTTCCTGGGGACAGAAAACAAAAGGTGGTCTCAGACCAACTCAGGAAGGAGGAGGCTGAGTGGGGCTGGGGTCTCGAGCACAGCAAGGACCCATGCACCTCGACAGCAAGCAGAGAATGAGGCCCCGCAGCCCCCTCCCACCAGGCCCCTGCCTGCGGACCCTTCTCCTCGGGGTGGGGCAGAGCTCTGTTTGGAGAATGCCCATCGGGCAAAGTTAAAGTCAGGGGCAATGTCAACACATGTGCTCCTGTTGTGAACGATTACCAAAGGCCGCTGTGTGCCAGGCACTCGGACATCCGCGGGAGCAGGACCACAGCCCCGTGCCCAGAGCTCACACAGGAAAGGTGTCCAGCAGGTGGGCACGCACACCCGGCGGAGGACTGTGAGGAGGCCCCGCAGAGCTGCAGGGAATACGGGCCCCAGCGGCGCAGCGCAGGACGGCCAGGGAGGCTCTTTGGGGAGGATGCTTGAGCTGCCGCACAGACAAGGAGTAAGAAGCACTGGGCGGGGGAGGGGGCACTGAGAGAAGTGCTGGAGACTGAGCAGGGGTGGGGGGACCTGAAGGAACAGGGTGAAGCCTTTGGGGCAGGATGAGGGCGGGAGGCAGCAGGCAGGTCCTCTAACAGGGAACAGGGGTGCCGAGCCCCAGGAGGAATGCAGCTCCCTCGGGGGTCTAACTGCTGCCTGCTGGGGAGCTAGGGGGCCCGCGCGGGCGGTGGGCCCACAGCAGGCCTCAGCACCCATCCCGGACTCGGCCATCCTGGAGGAAGCTGGCAGTCCCAGAGGCCGTCAGATGCTCCTGGTGGCCAGGGACCTCCTCTCCCCCGGGTCCCCTCATCTATGAGCAGAGATGAGGTAAGTCCAAGCCCAGCCCTCTGTGGAATTTGCCTTCCCAGCCACCCCTGGAGATGGAGGGCTCCCAGACTGTGAAATTAAAGGACCTCCTCTAGGACTTAGCTCCCTTGGTGAGCATCCTGCTGTGGGGGCTGAAGCGATCCTGGCTCCGCCCAAATCCTAGCAAAGGCAAAGTCTGCAGACAACCCCCATGAAGACTAGGAGGTGGGGAAGAATGCTCTACTGCCCCCTGGTGTCCACCGGCCAACCCGCCGCCCCTGATGGCCTAGTGAGAGGCTCTGGCTAGAGGTGTAGCAAACTGCCCCTCACTCACTGTGTGACCCTGGGTAAACATCACTCCCTCTCTGGGCATCAGCTTCTTTATCTGTAAGACACAGGAATGACCACGTAGTCTCGAGAAAGAGAAAGCCATCCCCAAGCAAGTGAACAAGGAATTATAGTCACAGGGGAAGGGCAAAAGGCTAGGAAGCCAGAGGGTACCACTGAGAGGCACGCTGAGAGATTTGAGGAACTGGGGTGGGCAGAGGCCCACTAAGGAGGCCAAAAATGTCAGGATGAGGGGAAACAACCAAGCCCTGGGATCCTGGCCAGGAGCCCCCCCCTCCCCAGCTGTTCACCCTTCCCCTCCTCTCACCTCTGTCTCCTCCCAGCTCCCCCTAAATAGTGAAACTAAGAAATCAGATATTCTGAACCGATCCTCTTGAAATAAAGGACACTACTGAGACAACCGGCAAAATGTGAAGCGTTCTCATGATTGGATGACAGCAACCTGTCATTTACCAGTTTTGATGGTCCGGTGGCAGCTTTGCAGAAGATTGTCCAGGTTTTTGCAAAATATGCATGTCAGCAACGTAGTCACAAAGGGGGATGAGGGTGTCTCTACATCACATTTGCAAATTGCTGTGATTTCTAGACTGTTTCAAAAATTCAAATATTTTAAATTCTAGAATGTACTCTTAAAATTGTATATACATGCTTTGATGCAGCAAATGCAATTTCCAGGTTTTATTCTACAGGTACATTGGTATAAGTATGTATGTACAGTAGTACTTATGAATCAACATAAACATGTCTATTCAATGATATTAAAAATTATATACAATGTACATCTGTATGGCAGGTGTTTAAAATAGCAAAAAATCAAGTTAACTGTCCATCAAATAATTGCAGTGAACTCTTACAATGGATACTTTGTAACCATTGAAAAGAATGAGTTGGGTCTATACTAACAAAAGTTACTAAGTACCTAGCACTCACCACGTGGCAGCCTCATTCAAGGGTCTCATGTGTCCCGATTCAAAACAACCCTGCAGTGTAGGTCCTGTTACTGTCCCCACCATGCAGAAGAGAGGATTGGGAGATTCAAGCGCGCTCAAGATGTCACAGCTCTCGGCCAACACACCCAGCCTGGCCGCCAGTCTGGGAGAGCCCACGTGCTTTGCCACACACAAGAGTTGGGGAAGAAACACATACCCCATCAATAATGATTTCCCCTGAGGAGCAGGAATAAGCAAATCTGAGCCTGCACTTGTACTGTTTCTATTCTGTACCGTATATTTTTATCATATAGCTCCACATATCCACTTTATGCATCTTTAAAACACGCTAATGTAAATAAATAATCACCAAAGGATAAAAAACATTTTCTTTTAATCCTCACCCAAGGATATTTTCCATTTTTGTTCAGATAGAGTGGGAAGGAGGGAGAGAAAGAGACATCGATGTGAGAGAGACACATCGACTTGTCGCCTCCCGCCCAGTCCATGGGACAAACCACAACCAAGGTGCGTGCCCTTGACCTTGAACCCGAGACTCACTGGTCTACAGGCTGATGCTCTAACCACTGAGCAACGGGCCAGAGCTAAAAAAAAAAAAAAAAGACATCTTCTAAAAACCCACCCTTAAGGAACTTACTGCCCAATACCAACTTTGAGGGGAGGGGTTAATTTTACCAGCAGGTGGAAAGTGCAGGGAGGGACTGAGGGACCCTGGTGGGCCTGTGGAAACTGCACTTGGCTTCGTCTGCAGGGTCTGCAGCCCAGCGGATGGAGCCCGTCCTCTGCATCCAGGGGCCTGAAACACCCAGTTTCACCCCCAGCGCTGGGTGGGCACACCTGCAACCAAGGCTCCGACCTGGGTAGCGCCCTGTGGCTTTGGAAAGCTCCTCCTCCTATCACAAGGGTCCCCTCAGGTTTCTTCCTCTACCACAGAATGGAGATAATGGTAACTGCTCACCCAACAGCGATGATTACTTAGGTATGTATTTCTATTCCCCATTGTGTGGATATTGTAACTGAATTTCAAAAGTAGTTCTAGGGGAGAGAATGTGCTTTTAGTTTTTTAGTCGTAAGTGAGAGGGAGGAGGGGAGGGTGCTCTCGTGCGCCCAAAGGCAAGGAGAAAGGTGGGGGTCAGAAGGAGGATGGAGCCCGGCGGAGCAGGTGGCGGCGGGGCTGTCCCTGAGAAGGGCAGGGTGGGGCCAGAGGTGCCCCTGGAGGAGGCTGTGCCCCGTGCCTGCACCGCGCCCTCCTCCTGTGCGCCCGCCGTCTGCGCGGATCCCCACAGGGCCCAGAACCGCGACTCTGTGACCTGCGGGGCCCTTCTGGTGGGCATGGACCCGCTGCCCTCCCCGCGGCGGGCTCCCGGCGCTGCGGGCTCCCGCTCCTGACGCCAGGCAGTGTGGGAAGCGCTGAGGGCACGGGATCTGCACGAGGAAACGGAGGCTCAAAGTCCCGCCTGCCAGCTGATGTTCCCATTTAGTCCTTGGCTTTGGCTGAGGCCGTCTTCCAAGCCTCGGTTTCCCTGTGTGTACCGCCAAGTAAAGAGCGTTCTCCCTGCAGAGTCGGGATGGGAATTAAACGAGGTACCTGCTGCGCGCTCCGCGAGAGTGTGCGGGCAAGCGGTGCCACCGCACTGAGGGCAGGGCTGCGCCGCAGCGTCACCTGCCCAAGTCCCGCGACTCGCCGGCTGTGGGCTGCCCCCGCCCGCCGCTCCAGCCGCTGCCTTCTCCCCAAAGCTGCCTTGGGGCGGGGAGAGCGGGGTTGTCCCCTGCATGGGCGCCTCCTGCGCGGGCGCCGGGTTGCTTGGCACTCCCAGCCCAGCACCCCGAGGTGCCCTTGCTCCCGGAGCTGGGCGGGACGCAGCCCACGTGACGGGGGGGGGGGGCAGCACCCGGACCTCACCCTCAGCCTCCAGGCCAAGACAGTCAGGAGTTCCTGGCTTGCGCCCTGCACCCCAGTGCGCCCTGACCAGACGCCCAGGCTCTTCGGAAGCAGAGCGCACACGCCCCTGGAGAGAGTGGGTGAGTGCCAGGAGAAGAGGGACCGGTGGGGGACCGGTGGGGCCCCGGGAGGGTCCGGAGAGGTGTGCAGCTCTGCTGGCGTGAACACGCCCCCAGTGACCCCCTGGCCTGGCTGCAGGCTGCTGAGGAAATCCTGTCCAGACCCCAGAACCCCAAATCTCACACTTCACCTGTGTACTCTGACCAGACTGATCAGGTCCTGAGCATCCCATTTTGAGGAAAAGGGTGCTTTTCATCAGAAGCCCTGTTGTGGGAGTGCGAGCAGGGGGCTGGGGCTGCAGACCTCCGGACTCTCCCTGGGGCCGGTTGCCCAGGGGCCTGAGGCTGTTTGGGTAAATACTTCCTGCTGGGCTTCCTGCCCTGCCGTTCTTGGGGGCAGAGCCTGGGGGTTGTCCTGGCATGGGAGGAGGGAACCCTCTCTTGTGTGCTGCCAGCCCCAGCTTGCCCCCTGGCCCTGTTGCAGAGACGTGGGGAGGGTCTGGGCAGCCTGAGCAAAATTGTAAATCTCCTGAGAGGTCACAGGCTCAGGTCTTAACCAGATATTGAAAACCCCACTTCATTTTCAGTTGGATTGGGGCCTTTACACCTTCTTTCTTTTTCTGTGTTGTTTCTTTAATCATATTTACATATGTCTTTCTGAGAGGTTGGCATGATGCTGGGGGAGGTGAGGCCCAGCAGCGCCCTAACTGCAAAGGCTCACCCTGCCCAGGTGTGAGGCCCAGGAGAGGGCCCTGCCGAGCATGGGCAGCTGAACACAGAGGCCCTGGCTCAGAGCCATGCCCGGGAGTGTGCCCACACCTTCCCTGGCAGGAGCACGGCACACGGGCAAGGACAGTGCCAGGCACACAGAGGAGTGTTGGCATCGTACCAGCTGAGGCACCAGTGACTGGAAAATCACCGCCAGCCGAGTGTGTCTGGCGGGAGGATTGGGGGGCCAGGTAGTCTGATGGGAAAGGTGGTTCTGGTCACCTTGGATGACAGTGACATGACCACGTGCTGGGGTCAGCCTGCTGGGTCTGATGTCCTGTTCTTTCCAGAAGCAGCCTCTGGAGGATGAGCTCCCCCTTCCTCCCCACCTACGCCCCCCCTTTGATTCTCGCATCCGGCATCTGCGGAGCTGGAGAGGGAGGGCTGCGGGTCTCGGAGCCTGCTGGTGTCCCTGGTACAGATGGGAGAGCTGACACCCAGGGAGCGTGTCCCAGGTCACGGGCCGGCTGGTGCCTGAACTGGGATGGAAGCCAGCTCCTGACCCTCAGCCCACGGCCATCCGGGGCCGTGTCCTTGCTGTGGATGCTGAGGCCTTCGCTGCAAAGGCAGGACCTGTGTCCACGGATAAAGGGAGGACCTGGGAGGGCAGAGAGAGGGGCAGGCAGAGGGCAGGCTGCAGAGCACCCCCAGGGTGGGCCGTCCGCTGGGACCTCAGAGCTCTTCCCTGAGCCACAGATGTGCTGGGACACCTGAGCCGGAGGGGACCTCAGGGGGAACGTGCGCGCTTTGCAGCTGATGCGGGCGGGGGGAGGGGCGGTTCCTCCCAGGGGGTGGCATTTGGGAACCAGCCAGAAAGTGAACCCAGAGGCCCTGGCTCAGAGCCATGCCTGGGAGTGTGCCCACACCTTCCCCAGCAAGAGCAGCACCCACCTCACACCTGGGTCCTGAGTCAGCGGGCACGCCTGCCACACTTAGCTGGGCATTTGGGGAGGGACTTTGGCTCCTCAGCTCGATTTGCTCAGGTGGGACAGCTCGTAGTCACCATTGTGAAGAAGCTCAGGGCCCAGGGCACATGGAGCTGAGGGACAGGGAGGCGAGCCCGGTCCAGATGACCCTTTAATTAGGCCAAAATATGAACTCAGAAAAGATGACACACCCCTGAAGTTCGGCGTTCTGGTCCGGGATAGTCACTGTATAAAACCAGTTCATTGTGTCTTTCCCACCTCGTCACCCCCATGTCACCCCCTCTTCTCTCCCTTACAACTATCAAATGACCGGAGAAGGTTAACAGTCTCGAAAATTAAAAGCGTGATTAAATCTGGAACGAGGCAAACTGAAAGTGTTTTGTTCAGGAACCTCGTGACTAGGAGTTATCTCCGCTGAAATGGGACAGAGCCTGGAGGACGGAGTCTGCCGTCCCAATGCATGTGCCCTGGGAGGTTCCCCGGGGCCAGGCCAGATGCCACAGCAGCCCTGCACCCTCTGGGGGTTGCCCGTGACTGTGGTGGGTGAGGGGCACCAAGTGGAGATCGGGCCTCCGTGAGCAAGGGAGCAAGGAGTGATGGGCAAGGAGAAGACAGGCCGAAAGGCTGCCCCTCCCTGAGCCCGCGTGGGCCCCGTGGAATGGCTGTGCCCGGCAGAGGGGCCGGCTTTCCCACTACCCCAAGGGTCCAGCCTCAGGCAAGCCAGAGGGGCACTAGCAACATGCCCCAAAACACGAGTGACTTTCGGTGTGGGCATTTTAAATGCTGAAGTCAGACATGTTCTTCATGCAATGTAAGAGTATTTTCTAAACATAGTTTTTTTAAAAAAAAAAAAGCTTTAAGCATTTTGTTAATCCATCAGATGGGAAGGCTAGGTCACAGTAGGTAAAGCCATGCTGTGGCCGTTGGCCCTCAACCCCTGGCTATCCCAGGACCAGCCCCCCCCCCCCAAAGAACCTCCCCCAAGGTCCCATCTGAAACTGCCGGCCCCCTGCCCTGCGGCTCACCCTGTCCTTGGGCCAGAACTAAAAATAAGCGTTTGGGTAAAATGTTTCAGGTAATGTCTAACCCATGAAGTAGCAACAGTGTGGTCTTGGGTTAGCTACAAGGGATGTGTGTTTCAAAAGGGATATTCTACCATCACTGTTTCATTTCATGGATACATATATATCACTTTCCTAATACTCGGGCAGCCTGGCAGCGGCCCAGATGTGCTGGGCCGAGATGCCGGGGTTCCTGGGCCGTCTGCCTCCCCCGCCGGGCCTCCCCGGGTCCCAGCTCAGCGCGTGTCTGGCCTCGCTCAAGCAGCAGGAGCCCGTGTGGGCCTCGTCCCCAGGAGAGGGAATGTCCTCAGCCAGCTGACGGTCACGCGCTTCGTCTGCTCTGAAAATAGAATGGCAAAGAATTCACTTCTTAGGATACAGTATTTTTTTTTTCAAAAGTGGTAAAAAAAGAAAAGAAAAACTGAATAATTCCCACTCATCTGTCAAAGAACTTCCAATGTTTTTCAAACCCAGAAACTGCTCCAGGAGGCATCAGTCCATTTTGTTTTGTCCAAAATCTAAATTCAACTCCAATAAGGACAGTTTGGATGATCCGGGCACTCAGGGTCCCCTCCTGATATGGGGTTCACAGTCAGACCATGCTTGAGAGCAGAGATACTGAGAGGCTGGGCAAAAACATGTACGTTATTTTCCATCAACTTTAAGGCACAAGCCAGGGAACATCCTAGTCAACAGCCATGGAGTCTCTGTGGGAATTTTCTTCCTGAGTGATACCTGAGCGCTGCTCAGAAAATATCATTTTCCATAGTTAACCTCTCACGCGGAACCCGGAGGGCCGTTCCCGGCGCTGGTGGGTTCCGTCCGCGATCCACGGTGAGCCGCCGCGATCCACGGTGAGCCGGCGCTCCCCCGGTTCAGGAGCCCGATGGAGGCTCCCCCGGGAGAGCAGACAGTTGGACCCCTTCTGGGACATTCCCGGGAAGACAGATGTCAGGCCTCAGTGAAGACCTGCTGAAGCCACAGGGCGATTGGCACACTTCCAGTCACCCACAGCGGAATGGCATCCAAACAGAATCGTGCCCCACGCCAGGCTGTTTCCTCCCCCGGGACGCCTCGGCCAGGACCCCAGGCCCACATCCGGGGTCCCCTCACAAAGCGGGCTCTAGGGCAGGGGGAAGGAGGTGTCCCTTGACATCACAGTGGAGAGAGAATAAGGGACCACGCCTAAGGGTGTGAGGTCCAGGAGGTGTTAGGAGGCCCCTGAAAACCGGGGTGAGGGATTCTACACGCAGGGCCACGCACACCCAGGCCCAGGCCCCGCCTGGGACTCTGCGCTCGGGGTGTCGCCTGGCTCTGTGAGTCAGCCAGCCTCTCGGGCTTCCCGGGCTAACGCAACGATCTTGTGATTTTCCAGGTGTGACCCCGACAAGCCGCCAGGATGGGGAAGAAGCTGGACCTTTCCAAGCTCACGGACGCAGAGGCCAAGCACGTCTGGGAGGTGGTTCAGCGGGACTTGGAGCTGAGGCGCAAGGAAGAGGAGAGGCTGGAGTAAGTGTGCGGGCTGAGCCCGCGGACCCCACGTTCTCCACACCTCGGGCTCGCTGGGGTGAGCGGCGCTGATGGAGGCCAGGCGCTGGGCAAGGTCTCTCTTCTGGCCCTGGGTTCCTCACCATTGAAGCGAGGGACCTGGCCCCACACCCCGACTTTCGAGTGTGCCCCGAGCAGTTTTATTTCAGCTTGACCCAGCATCCGGGGTGACGTCCTCCCCAAACGGGGTGATGCTGCAGGAGGGAAAGAGCTGCCGTGATCCAGGGGTAAAGGCTCGATTCATTCTGAAACACCCCAGTGTTGCAATTGCGGGGTTTCAGGACAAGGCTGCTTCCCGCCCCCCTTTCCCATAGCTTTGGAGGTCCCGTCCTCTCCCCAACAACTGAGCTCAAACTCGCCGGCATCATCAGGGACCCCGCTCCCTGGCATGTCCCGCCCCCAACCCCTCACGCTCCGAGTCCACTGGGCTCCTGCTATCTCTGCTGGGTGTCTGGGGATTGGCGGGCCTGTGGGGAAGGGGAGGTTTGAGCAAAGACTCGGGGTGAGAGAAGTAGCCAGTATGTTCCCTTAGCCTCTTGTTGTCACCTTCTGTTTTGAATGACAGCCTTGCTCGATAGGGTCGTCTTGGGTTCAGATCCTTGTTTCTCATGACCTGATTACTTCCTGCCGCTCCCTTCTGGCCTGTAGTGTTTCTGTTGAGAAGTCAGCTGAGAGCCGTATGGGGGCCCCTGTAGGTGACCCGTTGCTGTTCTCTTGCTGCGGTTCGTTTGCACAATGGAGTACTACGCAGCTGTGAGGAAGACAGACCTCGCGCCCTCTGAGGCGACCTGGAGGGACCTGGAGAGCACTATGCTGAGTGAAATAAGCCAGTTAGAGAAAGACAAGTACCCCCTAATCTCACTTATTTGTGGAACATAATGAATAAAATACACTGTCGACCAAAAGGGATCCAGAGACATGGAAGTTGGAAACAGACTGACAAACCTGAGGGAAGGGGGATGGGAGAGGAGGGAGGGGATAAACCAAAGAACATATACGCATGTGTGCACAACCAATGGACACCGACACTAGGTGGGGGACATCAGGAGGGGGTGGGAGCAGGAAGGAGGGGGTCAGAGGGGGGAAAAGGGGGACATCTGTAATACTCTCTACAATAAAAAAAAAAGGCAGTAGCCAAGAGAGCATCTACAAGGGGGGGCCCTGGGCAGAGCAGGGCCACGGGCCGTGGTGGCACGCGTGGGTCCTGTGGACCTTGCAGCGCCTGGGTTCGCTCTGAGTCACCGAGGCCCCCGAGCAGAGCAGGACCAGACCCCGGCTCAGCACACTGCAGCCACCGAGACGTGGTCGGCTGAGCTTTGCCGGGGGAGCCGGGAAGTCCGCCCACAGATTGGCTGTGGGCTGGAGAACATGGGAGGAGTCAAAGGTGACTTGAAGGTCATGGCCTGCGTCACTGGAAGGGTGGAGTTGTCCCCTCAGGGGAAGGCACAGGTAGACCAGGTCTGGGGGAAGCAGAGACTGGATTACCTTCGGCCGCTAGGCGAGGGGTGCGCACGCTGGAGCTGGAGAGCTGTGGCTGGGGCGTGTTCGCCACACAGGAGACAGTTCTCACTACTGCTCTACTTACTACACACTCAGCGGCGTAGACACACAAACCATGTCTCCTGATTCTGGGGGCCGGAGGTCCTGGAATCAGGGTGTGAGCAAGGCTGCACCCCTTCAGGGGTTCTAAACACCTTGTCTTTCCAGCTTCCAGGAGCACCCCACTCCTGGCTCCTGGCCCTTCCTCCATGGCCAAGGCCTCAGCGTAACACCCTTCACCGCCACCCCGTCTGACTCCCTGCCCCGCTTCCCCTTCTAGGGACCTGGGGAGGCACTGGTGCGCCCAGATTATCCAGGGTCACCTCCCCTGGCCAAATCCTTAACTCAATCATGTCTGCAAAGTCCCTTCTTTGCCAAGTAAAGTGACATGTTCACAGGTCTGGGCAACTAGGACATAGAGGTTTCTGGGTAAGGGGGACCATTATTCAGCTGATCCCGGTATTTAAAGCCACAGGACGTAGCTGAAGGGGTTGTGCAGAAAGTCCTGTGTGCCCTACATGTGGATGAGTCCGTCTGACACCACTATTCCTGGTGTTCACCTTCCTCCAGTCATTTCACTGAGAGAGGAGACAGCTCGGCTCACCTCTGAGTACTGCTGGGAAGGGAGGTCCCCCGTGAGTTTGAAGTGTGACAACCCCGGGCTGTGGACAACTGTGGCTTGGCCAGGTCCCCAGGCCCGCTGGTCAGGGTGAAGTCCTCGTTCAGAAGTGCCTGAGAGCCCTGGCTGGTGTGGCTCCCTGGTTATAGTGTTGGCCCATGGACCAAAGGGTCGTGGCTTTGATTCCCAGTCCAGGGCACATAGCTGGCTGGCCGGTTCGATCCCCAGCCCTGGTCAGGGTCCATATGGGAGGCAGCCAATCAGTGTGTCTCTCTCACATCAATGTTTCTCTCTGTCTCTCCCTCTCCCCCTTACCCCTCTCTCTTTGTCTCTCTCTAAAAATCAATGGAAAAATATCCTTGGGTGATGATTGAAAAAATTATTTTTAGAAGAATTTTCTGAGAATGGGCTACAGTTGGGGGCACTAGGTCATCCTCTATGTCCTCTCGGCCACCGTGTGAATGGGGTGGCTTATCAAATATCCTCACTGCCCATCAGACGGGGGAGGGTGTGGGCGAATGTTAAAACAATGGCCACTCTGTGGCCCCTGAGAACGGCTGCACACAGAGAGGCAGCCACGTGGAAAGTCCACGTCCAAGAACCGTGGAGTCCAGGCACAAGCCGTGACGGGTTCTCCCGTGCAGGGTCTGGCTGCGAGCCTTTTAGGAGGTAAAGTCACGTGAACAGTGGGATTAGGGCAGGTGTTTTTATTGTTTTTGTCTCCTGTTCACTGTGCTACTGCTTCAGCGAAGCTGCCCCTGCCTGCGAAAAGCCCTCCTCCGTGCCCCCACCCCCCGTGGCCTCCAGGGCCCCGGGCCGCCGTGGTCTCGGACACAAGCACAAAGCTGAGGCTGAAGTGAGCTCAGAATAAGGACTCCAGCTCCTGACACCGAAGTCGGCTCTCCAGAGAGCGTTGGCGAAACCACCAGCAGTCCGTGATGAAACCAAAGATAACGTTTAAAATAGAAACTCCCTTCCCCCCAACCTCGGCTCAGTCTTTATCTGTGCATTTAACCAGTTTCAACAGAAATGCTCATCCATTCGTCGCCCCAACAAGCCCCATCCTCCGTGGCCTGTCTCCGGGTTTCTCCTCGATCCCCATGGGGACAACTCATGGGCTCCCAGTTCCCGGTTCTCTGATCTGCGGATCAGCAGCAGGCGAGTGCAGACCCCGGGCCTCCGGTGACCGCTCAGTGGGCGGCCAGCACAAACTTGCAGTTCAGGAATTGTTCAGATGAGCATCGGATGTTTTATCCTCCTCCGAAAGGGGTACCAAACCGACCAAGACGGATGACAGAACACAGTTAATGGGGGGGACCTGAAACCAAGAAGCAAACCCGTACGTGTCTTGGGGACCCCTGTTCTGTCCAGCGGATGTGGACACCGTGTGTGGGCTGGAGGTCAGCTCACCAACAGCAAATTTGCCAAAAGGCAACTTGCTAAGCAGACAACTCACCAAGCACACCCGTCTGAAAACTATCAAAGAACAAAAAACGGTGTTTCTTTTTATATTTACAAAGTCACCAAAAATGCGTATTAGGTGGGTTTCTCCCAAAGAGGAGCGCCCGGCCCCTGGCAAGGATGTGGGGCGGGTCTGGGTGGAGACCCAGCACCTCCTCACCACTGAGACCAGGGCACCACTTGGCACGGGAAGAACGAGTTTGTCCCTGGTAGTCACAAGGACTGGAGCCATGGGCCTGTGAGACTGGTTTCACTAACACCTACATGACCAGGCACCCCCCAAACACCAAAGCCCCCTGAGTGCCATGCCAAGGAGAACGGTGCCTCTTCCAGGGCACAGGGCTGCCAGCAGCCCCGACCTTGTGTGGGCTCTGCTCCGGGCTGCGGGAAGGGTTCCCCGGGCACTGCTCCTGAGTGGCAGGCCTCCAGGCAGGAAGAGGAGGAGAAGGAAGCCGGAGGCCTCCTCGCCTGGGACTTGGCCTGGGCAGCTCAGACCTCTCCTGAAGCTGGCATGGGCGACCAGGGAACTGGGAGTGGGCTGTTTACTGTACAGGGTGTGATGTTATTCCTGGCTTCCCGTCAGGATACAGTGCTGAGCGCCAAAGGGTCGAAAACTCGAAGATGTGCTACATTGGGACGCTAACAGTGCTGGCATGGAGGCGCTCTAGATGGAATCCGGGCGCGGCGTTGCCATGGGAACGTGGGTCTTGCCGGGGATGAACTTTGAGCCTTCGAATAGGGTCGACATCTGTGTGAGAGAATGGACGTCCTGATGCCAAGTCTGCTGCCCAGTGCGGGGCTTGGGCTGTGAGCCCAGGGGTGCGGCCGCCTCCCTACGTGTGGGGAAGGGGGTGGACAACAGAGGCTTTGCTCAAAGGGACTCCTCCGTCTTTGACAGACACTCCAGCAGCATTGACCTTCGCTGTCCTCAAGGGCCCCCAGGGAGAAGATGTCGTTGGAAGGAGGCCACCAGGAGGGGGCCCCGGTGAGGCTCCTGGGAGGTGGTTCCTGCCTCTAGAGCAAGAAAGCAGCTACTGAGACCAGAAGGCACTTTGGGAAAGGACCTGTTTCTTACTGCTCATATTCTCTTCAAATCCTTCCTTCTCCTTTGGGATTCAGTTCTTGTGGAGAATATCAGCTGATCTGCACACCACGGGAGCTAAGGAAACCTTGAGAAAGAACAAAGTAGGAGGAAACATGCGCCCTGGTTCCAAACTATACGACAAAGATACAATCATCAAAACAGCATGGCCCTGGCGCAGAGCAGGCGTCTCAATCCACGGGATAGAGAAGGGAGCCCAGAATAAATCCTCACTTACATGGGCAATTCATCTACGGCAAG